TAGAGCCCGGAGGGACGAGTGACTGCGTTCTTGCTGTGCAAGGCTCTCTGTAGATGCAGGCGATGTGTGTGCGCCTGGGGTGCAGCAGTGTGCATCGGCAGCCTGGAAGCAAATTCGGCAGGGGAAACTGAATACAGTTCAGCCTTTACAGGCAGGTGGGTTCTGAGTGGCCCTGACTCGCATTTCACCGCTTGCAATCGGTCCTCTTCAAATGCTCGCAGAATCCTTTGTCGTGATGGAGCCCGGGTTGCTTCAAAGGATACTTCCACTGTAGGAACCGGCACCAAGGCTGATGAGGGGTTCCTAGCTGATGGACCCCCCTGGGCAGGGGGCCTGAGATTAGGAGTGGGGAGCATCTCCCCTGCCATCTTGAAGACAGACCTACTCGGCAGCTCTGGCTCTTGGTGTATTTTGTACTGATTAGGGCTGTGGGCTACAGCATGAGCCCTGCCTTGTGGGATTTGGAGGCTGGAGGACCCAAGGGAGGCTTCTCTTACAGAGTCATCTCAGAGAGGGAGAGGCAGGGGACCACTGACGTGGGGTGTTTTTGCTTTTTCTGAAGCTTGGCTACTGGGTGTGATGGACCAATGGATCAGATAGGATGTGAGTGGCTTGTGGCTTCCGCTGCCCCCGGTATCAATTCAGTATCTGGCAGACTATCTCTCTGAGGGCCGTATCCGGCCAGTGGATCAGGCACTGTGGTGTCGTGAGCTGGCCTTCCCAAGGGACCGGGGTGGAGCTGCAGCCGTGGCAGGCTTGGCTCACTTGTCGCTTGTGGAGAAGAGGAGTGAAAAGGGTGGGGGGGACTAAGAGCTGGCATGCTGGAAAAAGAAGAGCAACCTGGGGCTTGGTAAGGGGGACTGCGGGAAAAGGAGTTTGTGCTCTGTAATGAGGTGAGCGGCTTGGAGGGCTGGGAGCGAGGGACGAGGATTGCAAAAGAGGATGAGGAACCTTTAGCATAGGGGGGGTGGGAAGCAGCGAGTCTGAGTGTACAAGGTTTCCAGCAAATCCATAATGGGGAGTGGGTGTGGATTCGTCCTCAGCTGCCTTGTTGTGAGGGTGTGCTGTGTGGCTCCTGCTAACACGGGGAGGGTGTTGGGTTAGGTCCTAGGCGGGCTAGGAGCTGCGTGGGGGTGGACTGGTAGAGGACAGGTCTTCAAAGGGAGGGCTTAGCCCTTGAAGGAGTCCAGGGTGGGAGATCAGATTCGTTTCTGTTTGGCCTGGATGGAGCCGCAGCGGGGCTGGGGCAGTGCTTCCAGGTGTCTACAGTAGGCAGTCGGCTGCTGCCCGCTGCTCCATGTGCAGTCATGAGTAGGGACCTACCGAATTCATGGCAGAAGCGGGGTGCGCTATAGCTTTTTTAATCTGGCAGGTTCCCCTGTGCCCTTCCCCACCCCAGTTGATTGATGGAGGGTCCCTGCTGGCGGCTGGCTTCTGATCAGCAGGGAGGTGAAAATGGGGGTTTTAAATATAGTGCCGTTTTTGCCTCTCACCACTGGTTGGCCGAGGACGGCCCTGCTGTTTGCTGCTGGCTGGCGGGGAGGCAAAAATGGCACCGTGTTTAAAAACCACGGTTTTAGCTTCCCTGCTGATCAGGAGGGAGCGGCGGGGTCCTCTGCTAATCGGCAGCAAAGGTGGGAGGGGGCCGAGGGACAAGGTGCTTGTGGGAGAACGTGCACAATTAAAGGCGCCACCGTGCACCCTACTTCCACTGTGAATTTGGTAGGTCCCTCGTCGAGAGGAGGAGGAGGGGTCCCTGGTCATGTCTGCAGATGAAGGAGGTAAGCCTTGTGTCCGTGCCCTGGAGGAGTCTGGGTGCACCTGGCATGGAAACTTCTGGGAAACCGAGGCTGCGGTGGGCACTTCCAGGTGCTGGCACAGTTCTTCCATAGAGCGGGCACCCATAGCACGTGCTGCACAGAGCGAGCGGCTGATGTGGCCAAGAGTGGCTCGTTTCTCTCTTTCCCTTTTCACCTCCATCCTCTCTTGGGCCTGGTCCTCTCCCCTCTATGCAGTCTCGCCTGCCTCACGGGTTTGTTTCTCATTAAAGCCTTTGCTCAGACGCTTGTCTCCTCTCGGTCCCTGTGGGGTAATCGGTTCCACATGGGCCGTGCGTGTTCAGGCGAAGCGCTGCCCGGGAGCTTGCACTCTCTGGTTCTGCCAGGCTGCTCGTCCTTAGGTTGAAGCCATCTGCTTGGCATTTCGTCTGCGCGGGAGCGAGCCGTACATTTGGGTGGCCCCGGCATGGCCCGAGAGTAGAGAGCAGCTCCCCTGCCCGTTGCTCTGGTTGAGTTTTTTTTGCTAGGCAGGGATTTGGGGGAAGCAGGGCTGAGGTCTGGGCCAAGTTGATCTGAAAGGGCCCCAGCACTGATCCCTGTGAGGTCTCCTGGGCTGCTTGGGGTGGATGTCAGTGGGTGCAGCCATTTCAGCTTTCCTTCTCCAACCCAGCCTGCCCACCCCACAGCATGCAGCAGCATAGGACAGTGGCCTGCTCGGTCCTTGTTCCTTTCCCTTCCTAGCCCCGCTCCTGCTCCAGACCTCACCGCTGGCACTGCTTAGACGCAGCCCCTTGATACGTGGCTGTTACCCCATGTTGGCCCAGCCATCCTTGCGCCCGATGACTTCCAGGATTCCCCTATTTCAAGTCTTCCCTGTGTGAAAGCAGGGTGGAAAATGGATACAGGTTCTGCACAAAGGTCTCTGTTTCAATAGCCCCCGGTGTGGGCTGAACTGCAGCCCCTTTCTTCCAGGACCCCAGGTCCCCGCCATCCCCTGTGTTGGACTTCCATCTCCCAAGAACATCCTGACTCAGAGCTGCCTCTCCAGATCCTCTAGTACTGGGCCTCAGCCTGCCAAAAGCCACCCTACTTGTCACTGTGCCATATCCACTCCCAGTCGTTTCCTGGTCTCGACCTCGTTGTTGCCCTAGCATTCCCAGACCTATACCCCAAGTACCCTACATATGGTTTCAGCAGCCCTAGCACCCCCTGCTCTTGGCTGGAGCATCCCTGGAGCATGCTGTTTCATGCTTCCTCTCACCAGGGATTAGTATCTCTAGTGTTGCCTCTTTCATGTCCCCCCGTCCCCTCCAGGCTGAGATCCCTGTAGCCACCCCCCCCCAGGTTGAGCCTGTTCCTCCCCTGTCTTGTGCCCTTCCCAGTATGAGCCAGCCCTTGTCTTCCTGCTAGCTCCTGAAGCCTCTTCTGTAGTCGGCTCCTTCCTCACACCTCACTTAGCCTCCTATAATGTGTGCATCCCTCTCCAAACCACCTTATCACACAGGATGGCTTAGTAGAGCTCTATCATCCTTTTGTCTCCCTGGGGTCCTGCTCCAGGTCTCTCTCTGTTATGCTGGTGAGATCCGTTGCGAGGGAGGAGTCTGTTGTGGAGCTATTGGCAGCAAAACAGCTCCAAGATACAGAGCTGATGGTACAAGGGCCAGATTCCCATGGGGTAAGCCAATAAGGACTGGTTGCACATCAGCCTACAGGCATTTGGGAGACTGAATTAGTGTGCTGCATGTGCCAAGGGGCCAGGAGAAGGTATATGTGGGCAGGGGCTCTGATGTATGCCTTCTTACCCCCCTCCTCCCTCTGCTGTTTGCTTTTCCTGCCATACACTTTTGGCTCCATAGCACCTGACTGTTCCCCCCCATGCTGCTTTCACATGAACATTATACTCTGAGACGCTTCTAATTTACAGTGAAAGCAAGATCAGGCCTCTGGTGTACCAAGGCCATGCTATCTTCAGCTTTGCCCATACCAGGGAAGGAGCAGCAGGATAATTAAACGGACCTGAAATGGATCTAGTTACCTGCAGCCAATATAATGAAGGCCTGCTTAAATTGGTCTAACCCTTGCTGAAATGGGTCTAGTTTGAGAAATCACCTGGTTAAGCTAAAATGATTTAAGTGCATCTACACTAACAGGCTGCTCAAGTTGAATTGGATTTAAATCAAACCAGTGCAGTTTGTCCTGGACAGACGAGACCTTATTGCCTCATTCTTGTAGCTGCTCGTCTCATAGACTCCCACCAACATTTATACACCCTTATACACCCGACTGTGTCCCCTCTGATTTTGATCCTGCTTCCCACCGTGCCGAGCCAAGAACACCGAGTTCACTTGGGACAGTATCAAAGCGTTCACGTGGAATAAGGAGGCATTTTAAATCATAGACTAATAGGGCTGAAAGGGAATTCAAGAGGTCATCTAGTCCAGCCTCCTGCTCAAGGCAAGATCATTGCTGTTTAAACCATTCCAGTCAAGTGGTCATCTCATTTGTTCTTAAAAACTTCCTATAATGGAGATGACACCATTTTTCTTGGTAATCTATTTAGATACTTAACTACCATCACGGTGAGAAATATCCAACCTAAATTTCCCTTGCAGCCAGTTAAGACCATCGCTCCTCATCCTGTCCCCTGAAGCCAGAAAAGGAGAAGAATCTCTCACCTCTTCTCTAAAGAGTCGCGAGAGCCCTCCTTCGTTTGAAGGCTGTTATCAAATCCCCCTTAGTAATCTTTTCTCCAGACTAAATAGTCCCAGTTCTTCTAACCTTTCCCCGGAAGTCGTGTTTCAATAGACCTCTAATCATAAATACTAATCCACTAAATACTAATTCTCTTTATCACTCTCTCTTTCTCCACTTCCCTCCCCCTGCCAGCCTGGAGCTTGAGAGTCCTGCCAGCCTGAACTCTGTCTAGAGGCAAAGTGTGGGAGGAAGTGGAGACAGGGCGCGGCGGGGAAAAGTGACTGTCCCTGGCAGTCCGTTATGGGTTGGTCAGGACCGGGTGCCAGTGTGGCTTGACAAAGCAAGCTCAGGCCTTTGTGCCAGACCCATTGGGGTGGGTGAGGAGGAGGAAACCTGTGCAAAACCGAGAGGCAGAGAATGAGAAATCTTTGATTTTAAACCCCCCCCCAACAAAACAAAACAAGCAACAAGCACTGAGTTCCTTGCTGGACACTGTTTCTAAACCACCTTTTTTATAATGTTAAACAGGGGAGAGGCACCTCCAGCAACACGCTACCTCCCAGACGTTTTCTAATGGTAAATATTTTTTTCTCTCTCTCTATCTCTTCAAAGGCGTCTAACCTTAGACACAGCTCGTCTCGGGATAATAACCAGGCACGGGGGCTGAGCTACCCAACTAACTGCATGCCATGCTTTGCGCTCCGTAGCATGTGGCTGAAGGATCGTTAACCATGCGCCATCCCCCAGCAGTGCATACTAACCTCCCACCCCGACTACTGTAACTTCTGAACCCACTGCCGCAAGCTTGGCCTTGGATCAGCCCGGGAGCTGTCTCCACTGCTGGGGACAGAGAAGGAAAGAGGGCTCTCCCATGATGAACAGTACTTGCATGGGACGTGTGGCTCCAAAAAGCTCCTTGCTTTGCTTTTGCCTGTCGCCAGTCCTGTTGTCAGAGGACAAAACCAGCTTTCTGATCACGGAGCAACAGCTGTAGCTCCATTCGTTTCCATCTCGTGGAAGCTTTGCCTGCCTTGGCAACCAGAAGTCTTCTCTCTAGCTTCCCAATAGTGGACTAGACTGGAGTGCCAGTACCGTGATGGGTATTCAACCTCCCCTTTCCAGCATGCAATGTGGTCTGTCTCCAGCTGAAACCTGAATGTTGCATTCTGGGAACAGTTGCCTCTGGATCATACCTCTGTGTAGAAAGCAGGTACAGATAGGGTTGTAGAAAGTCCTGGATCCTGTTTTGATGGCTCCCTTATTTTAAACCTCAGTGCAGTCATGTCCCAGCCACTAAGGACATGGGAATTTCAAATGCGATTATGACTTAGCATTGTTCAGTTTGTAGGGCACGCAGCATGGAGTGGGTCGAGTGGGCACAGCTGCCAGCTCCTAGCATGGACAGGGTGGTAATGTGATTCCCTAGCTAACTGAGATGCTATGAACCCACAATATGGGGGCAGTGTCTCAGCCTAGAGAAGAAAGGGGTCAGCTTGTGCTAGACCCCCAAAGTCTCTAACCTTCATTGAGTGTCACTGTTACTCGTTGAGCTAAAGACCAGTGATAGCCAAGTCCAAGCATCACAGTTTCTCTTGCTTTCCCTTGCATTCCTGCTGTGCTCTGCTGCATATTCACCTGCGGTACTGAGAGCTTATCTTGAAAGAGCCATCCTTGAAGCTGCCTTACCCTCCACGCTGGGAACTGTAGCATTTGTGGGCAGCCAGTCTTAAAAATCAGCATTTTTCAGGGAGGGAATGCAAAGCTCCTTGAATCTCTCCTTGAGGTGGCATCTGCAGAGGGTGAGGGACCATCTTCATCCTCCACGGTCCCTGCAGGGTAAGGAGAGTTTAGATTTCCACCGGCCGGGGCCCACAATGTGTTTTTCCCCCTTGTCCCCTGCAACTGGCCCAGTGATGGATGCTGCCCTCTCCTCGTATAAATGGGGGATCCTATATCCAGGCAGAGTTTGATCCTGGTTCAGATATTTCCTGTGAGGCCCGAAGCTCCTGTCCAGCTCTGAATTGTTTTCTTCGCCGCGTAAATGTTACCACTTTTCTCTTCTGTTTGTGCTTCTGGTTTGAACTCTGAGGAATGCCTTGGCTATCCGTGATCCCTTAGAGATGCAGTCTCCCCACTGCTCCTGTGCGCAGCTCCCTGGGTCATCGAGACAGAACTGCACATCCTTCTCTTCCTCAGGCTCACCTTCCTGCCTGTCCTACTTCTCCCCCTACCGTTTGCCTCTGGGATAAGGTTTTTATTGGGGTGCGGTACTGAGCTGTTAGTAGCCGAACTGTCCCATTATTTGCCTGCAAATTTGTTTCCGGACTCCAAGGAGCTGCGAGGCTCAGGGTCAAGCAGACGGGTGTTCCCCTGGTGCCTTATGCGCTTGCTGTGACATGGATCATGCACTTGATGTTTTGTCGGCAGGGACTAACAGTCATGGCCCTCATCCTCAGTGAGCCAGCGAAGGCGGTCATAAAGTAAAGCCAGTCCCTGAATTCACCCTAAGGTTTTTCACCGACAAACCTGAGCCCTTTTGTGCAAAAAAAGTGCTCAGGCTTCGTCACCAGCCCTCACGTGTGCAGGCTCCCTGCCCATCTGCATTGCCAGCCAGGTTTGGCAGGTGCACAGGCCCAGACGCATTAGCAAATCCTGGGGGCACAAGTGGAGGTGGCTGCTTGACAGACTGGCCGAGTCCAACAGGCAAAGCAATAAGGAAAGGAATCCGTCCTGCTAACCGGTGCAGTGGCAGGTCCTGAGCTTGCTGTTGTGGCAGCTTCTCATTTGGCTTTGGCGGTTCTCGTGCTTCCGCATGGGTTTGTGCTTACAAGGCCTTGCATGTGACTGCATTGCCTTTCATCTCAAGATGCCTTACAAAGGTAGGGAAGCCCTTTGCGTCACAGATGGGCAGACTGAGGTCCGGGTTAGAGCCCTGAGACCCCAGACCCCCGTGAGCTCAGCGCCTCTGCAAATCAGGTGCCCCATCCCATATCCCTAGGGCCTTTAAAAGTCTGGCCCAGACTTCTAATGTTTTCCCCATGGTGATGTATTAGATAAGCAGGTGGACTGCAATTGTGGCATAATGGATGCAAGTACACGGACAGCCATCGTTAGGCTCTCCCGTCAGAGCGATGCAATGAGGATGGGGCATTCCCCCACTGCATTGCCTCCCCACCTCATCTGCACGCCTCTGCAGCACAGTCATCTACAGTCAAGGCAGGCCATGCCCTGTGCAAAGCCCTTCAGCACTGCTCTTGGAAGAGACAGATGGGTCTCTGTGGTGCGTGTGAGGGACTGTTCCTTTCTTGTAGAGCTCGCTGTCTTTTCCACAGTGCCTTCTGGCTTGGGAACCAAGACTGTGCCCAGCACACTACCCTAGTCTGGCAATAATGACTCCCATGTGATCATCTCTTTAGATTGCACGGATTCAAGTCCTCCCGCAGTCGCAGCATCTTAGCAAGAGGGTTGTACGTACGGTGGCAGCTGGCGGTTGCGATCCACAGGCTGATTAGTGAAGGGGCAGGGTTGGGTTCCTCTGCAGCTGTTGTCGAGGTGGTTACAGCTGGTCTGTCTCTGGCCATCTGCAGGCTCATCTGATCTGGCATTTCTATCCCAATCCCAATTACCGGTGGAGTTGGATTAGCACAGACTCCTAGGCTGGACAGGGCAAAAGCAGCAGTGAGAGACACTGGTGCCGCTCCCAGCTCAGTTAAGCCAGGGCCAACTGGACGAGTGCAAGTAGCATCTTTGCTGTCGTGCCCAGGCTTGCCGTGGTGCGGGTACATCCAGCAACTGAGCCAAAAATCAGGGCCTTGGCTACACGGTAAAGCTTTCCCAACAAAGCTTTTGCTGGCCTGCAGCAGCTGGCGCTGCCCTGAGGCTGGAGCCCATGCATGCCTGGCTGCCTTCTCCAGCGCCACGCAGCGTCCTTGCAGCAAGTGGTCCTGTCATCAGCAGGCACGCTGCGCTGTGGGTGGGGACCCAGGGTTTAGAGCCACCAACTATGTCACTGGAACATGTCCACTCGGTGGAGTGGGGAGAGCATGGTGTTCGGGGAGGTGGTTCGACTCAGGCGACAGAGAGGCTGGGTTTGGCTGGCTTGCGTCAAATTTGCGTGTGGATGCTTGCAGACCTGTGGCGACAGAAGGAAGCGTCTCTCGACAGAGCTTTGTAGTGTGGGCCAGGCCCTCATTTTTGTCATAATTATTCTATTCCTCCCCAGTCACTTGGCAGAGAATAGTTACTTCGCTCTCAGCTCTGGCAGTATTTTAGTTGTGGTTGGCTTAACTTTTGCACAGTGCCCAAATACATTGTGATGGACTCTCCAGGCATTAATTAAAACAGTCCAACTTACAAGGGGACAGGCATAAAAACTCCTCAGTTTCCATTTATTTAAGGCAGATGAGAAATCAAGAATGGCTGCATGGACTCTGTGACCATGGACCCCATCCTGCTATCGCACACCCTGGTACAAACCAGGTGCATCTCCCCTGAAGTCGGTGGAGTCATCCCTGTATAATCAGGCCCTGGTTTTCTCGTCCTTTGAATGTTCTCCTGCAAGGCTTTAAGCTTTTGACACTGTATGAGCTGAGTTTATAGGCAGCTTTAGAGATGTCTGTCTCTAGGAGAACATAGGCAGACACCAAACACCCTTTGTAAGGGAAGTGCACTGCTGTGCCAGAAAAGGCTGTCAGCCATGTCTTTTAAAGGGATGTGGCAGGGTTTTAAAAACCATGGCTTTCTATACACGTGCTCCGGGATGTATAACAAAATTTGACTTGGGTTGCCCCCTCATGTTGCTGGGCTGATTTCCTTTCCAAGAGTCTTTGATTTTAAACTGAAATCTTAGCATCATGCGCTTAAGGAAAGGTGTGACCCTCTTAAAGCGTTCCCTTCTGAACAAACCCATAACCTGAAAATGGGTTTAGAAACTCCTTCCAGATGAGACACGCAAACCCCTTGCAGGCATTAAAGGACTTGCGGCACTTTCAGAGTAGGGGCAGTTACCACACGCCCCGCTGCCTCAGAGTTTCATTTGGCTACAGCATTTCTCTTTGCTTCCCATCCTAAATTGTTTAACTTTGTTGTTGGGTGCTGTTAAACAGTTGCCACGTTCCACCCCAGAGGTGGCTGCATAATAGTAGCAGGTAAATAATCTACATTTACTGATCGCAGTGGTGCCTTGTAGTCTTTTTTTATCATATAAGTGTTAATTACTGCAGAAAGAAGCTTTTTGCTAAAGAACGGCTCTTGGGATCCCTTGCAGGCGGGGTACCAAGGGCGCGTGCTGGTACAGCAGAGTCACTTGGTGGTCTCCTCTTCTCCTTGCCCGGACACTTCTCAAGATCTCTGTAGAGGGAGTAGAGCTCTGTCCAGAAATAACAGAGGAGAGTGGGATGGAGGTGAAAGGGTAATGTCGGTGTTGGTATTTTCCTTGTTATTTTAACACATAAGGCCCTTTTGTATCTGTGGGTGAGTTGTGCTGATTGCAGCCTGCTCCAGCTGCTGTGTCATGGCCAGGAAGCGAGACAGCATCTTGGGGTGG